CCAAAGTATTCTGACCCAGTCAGTCTGAATCTGTGGGGCAAGGAAGGATGCTGAGAACTAAAACCTGCAGTAACTGAAAACCAGGAGTAGCTAATAAAACATAGTTATTGGCTGTGGTTTGTTACAATGTCCTAATGCACAAAAGGCTAATCTGATGAGCTAACATTGCTTCGGAAACCATCTGTGATCTTTTTACATTCCCACTAACACTTTGCAGTACTTAGTTAATAATTAAGAATTCCTCTGGTTTTCACTGTCTTTCTATGAACCATTTGGTTTTAATGTGGACACCTTAGGTAGGACTGTATGATTCCACTGGAATCAGCAAATTAACTAGACCATTTAATCTTCACAGCCACATTTACTTGGCTATAGGAACCTGCGGTACAGGCATTTTGAATGTTAATTGGAGACTTATAAAAATGAGGTTCCTCTTACTTTTGTAAAGGTCAGCAAAATAAATGGTACAATTTATATCACTTGAAAAAATGAAAATTGTTTTAAAAAGTGTCAGAAGTGAAAAAACAGCATGGAAGTGAATAAACATGTGAAGGAATTAAGTGGAAAGGATATAGAATTTGGTCTGGGGGTGGGATAAGTGACTAGTGGGATCTGTATAAGGAAATCTATTGAAAATGGGGAAGTGCATCTAGACTAGGAAAGTTAATTCTAAATAGACAACTACTCTGTGATATTTTATTTTTTATCTTTACAGCATATGTGGTTGTTGGTCAATCAGCGTTTTTTATGAGTAACAGTATATGTTAGACACGCTAAACAATCTGTTTGTGAGACACAAATAAAGTAAACCCTATAACTATACTCTGAAGGTAAAATATGTTGCTATATTGATAGCTGCAAAGCACTGAAATCCCACCACTTTTGAATTAGCGATAAAATAGGTGGTTTTTGGCAGCTGTGTAAAATAATGAAATGTAAGATGAGTTGAATTATTATTTAAGTCTCTATTTCAAAGTAATTTACCATTTTTTTTTAATATGAAAGAAGAACTTTTCTCTGCTAGTCTTCTGACAAATCCCTTTGAATGTTACATTTTCTGTTGGTTTCCTATTTTAAAGTTTTTAAAATTCTTGCTTGAAATGTTAGTTCCCTGGTCTTCTATGCAACTGCTTTCCTGCCACTTATCTCCCATGCTTTTCCCCAGATGCAGCAGCATTTCTAGATCAGCTGTCCTTTGTGAAGGCAAACACAGCACTGCTGTAGGCAGCAGAGCTGGCTTCTTGTGTGGGAGGACATATTGCAACAGTTTATTAAAGCAATTTCCATTTCTCATCTAAGGGAGTTCCAGTGATTAACTGGGCTCAGTCTAGCTGTCTGTGTATTCAGAGTCCTGCATTTAGTCAAAGTGCTCTTAACCAGAACCGTCATTGGATTTTCTTGCTTATTTGAAATCTAAGACTTTGAGACTATCTGCTCTAAATGAATCTTCAGATATTATCATTGCTAAAATGTTCGCGAGGGATTCCACTCAAGGTTGGAGTCTCCTTACTCTACATTCTGCAAAAATGTAGATAAAAAAATATTCTGCCCAAAAGAATGACATGGGTAAGAGACAAAGTGACAAACAGAAGCACCTGGAAGGGAAGATACTTGGTTGCAGTCATACAGTGAATCAGTCATCGGTAGTTCTGGTGAGCAATCAAACCTCAAGATCTCTTGAGCTTTGTGTACTTTATTCCTACAATAAATGCAGTAGTGATTTGAAATGGTATCCACAATGCCAGAAATCCCCTCTCTATTTTGTGGTGTTAGACCAGAGCTGGAACTACCCCTTTTGCCATATCAAGAGATCTTGCTGATCTGCTGCAGTTCACAGAGTCTGTCACCTGCCCCTCTTCCTTCACCTACGCTGTGATCTAGGCAAGGTGTGAAAGAATAGACCATTTTTTACCTCACATCAATTGCTATTTATCATGTCCAGAGCAGAAAAAAAGTGGTGAGATGCTTTACAACAGCCTAATTTTTTAGAGATTGTAACTCTTTCACAAACCAGGAATCTGATCCATTTTCTTTAATAATGAATGGAGCCAACTATAAAACAGTTTACTTTGTGTCACAGATGGGTAAGAGGAGTAGAAACAGTGGAAACCACAGATGTGCTGTGTCTTTATACTGCCTTTTCATCTGGTTTCCAGTTACCTTGCTGCATACTTGCTTCTTAACCCATCTTGTTGTCTTCCGTGGTGGTGTTTTGAAGAACTACGGAACACCTTTAAGTAGGAGGCCTCCACCAAGGTGAAACGAGTGCAGCAATAGAAGAAATACCACCCAAACTGCCTCCTGTTGAGACTTACAAATCCTGCTGCCTTTAGCTCTGCTGTATTCCCTTATCTTTCATACTTGGCACCCTCTCTCTCCCTTAATTATGTGGGAAAAAAATGCCTAGTGTGCTGACTGCCAGCCCGGGAACCTTTACATGCTCCCGTGCTGTGTGCCAGAGGCGTGCTGTCAGCCACGGTGGTCAATACACTACTCACTTTATAGGTAGTCCAAAAAGGGCTTTCTATCACCTCCAGGAGTTCCTGTGGCTCAGTAGGAACACTGCTTTACCCACGCTCCTGACAGTTCAGCCGTTACAAGCTAAAAACAACAATTTTCCATAAAACAATTGAAACAGAATTTGTGGCCCGCTGTATGTTAGTGGGAATCTTCATGCACCATCTATAGTATATAGATTATATTATTCCCATGAGCATTTTAACATTTCTGGAAACAATGCAACAGTAATAACAAACTAACTCGTAATTAAACAGGTTTTGTATTGTCTGGGCTCATTAGCCTCACAGCAGTTGAAGCGGAATAAGGCAGCTGCTTCTAGTTTCTTTATTAAATCTGTAATAATCATTTTAACTTATGTAATCACAATAGACTTAGTATTGTGCTGTTTTGTCATACCAATTGACTAGTTCTCTTTTACAAATAATCTTTCTCTGGCAGTGATCTGCATTTTTTATGTTAGTATAAGGCTCCACCTGCAGTAGTGAATACAGTCAGTCATTTTTCAATATAGAAGTGATGAATTTTGAATTTAGCAGCACTTAAAGGTCCAAATTAGGATCAAAGCCCTGTTGTGTAAAAATGCACAGTAAGGGAAAGTTTGAAAGGGAAATCTGACTTGTCTAAGTAAATGAGAATACTTAGGAGGTGAAATAGCGATGCGGAGATGGAAAGGCTTTTGTCAAGGTCATGTCTCAAGACAGTAGAAGAGAGAAGAATTTGAAACCTTTGTCCTCATTCAGTGTCTTATCCAGAAACCCTGTTGTTTTCTGTAATTAAACTAGTAAACAGTAAGACTAAATATTTAAAAGGAGACAAGGGACAAAGTAGAACTGTATGCCCAAAATCAGCTTTTTGGTTTTTTGTAGCGCAGCTCCAGAATGAAGTGAGTAATTTCAGGGCCACCTTAATGCTGTTGGAAACTCTGCGCCGATGATTCTAGGCAGCACAGCCAGATCCAATGCATGCATATTGTACAATTTTTTGCTGGACTTGCAGCAAGAAACACCCCTGTCCTGTGGGCCCACCTGCCTGGCATCAAGCCTGCTGTGTACTGGCAGCAGGTGTCTTTCTCACCTGTTACCTGCATCTTAGAAGGATGGGGATTTGATACAGATTGCACAATTCAAAGAGTCATCAATCAACAGAAGCATGATCTTTGGCCAAGAAAATCACATGCTCATGTCCCTGCAAAAAGTGATCTTGGTCAGCATTTGCAAGCATGCCTTCTAGCTGTCAGGAGCACAGAAATGCTTTGTGCTGTCCCAGAGGCATTTTCCCTCCTGTAAAAAGCAGAACAGTAGCAATTGCTTGCATGAGTTATGTTAAGGCTGTACATTAAATTCTTCACCAGAAACAAGAATGATTTCATTATTTTTTTATTTATGATTTCATGTTAACAGTTGATGCAATATCATTCAGCTATTTATGACTGATGTTGAATGCAATGCATGCTGGCTAAGAGCAGGAGAAAGCTATTTTTTCTTTTTCCTTTGTAAAAGTCTCTTAAGAGAACCATTTGCTGCGCTGCTGCTACTGCAGCCTGGCTCCTGCCCTGTGCACGTGCATGGGCTTCCTGGCACCCGCCTCCAAACGTGCTTTTGGCTGCAGCCTGGGGTCCTGCCTCGAAGCTCCAAGCCTGCTACGCGTGCTGTTTTCCGATGGGCTCTGGGCCTCTCTCTGTAGCTGTTTGCCCAGCAGTTGGGCACAGAGCTGCTTTGGGGAACGCAGCCTTTCATGTCCCTGGTTATGGGCTCTTACATCTTCCTGTTCTTTTAAGCCTGGGGCTTTTTCATTGCCTGTCCACGTCTTGTTGGTGAGGGAGCTGGCTGCTGCTTTGTTGGAGGATACATGTTCTGCTGGGTCCTCATGTCACTTGTGTAACTTGTTCTTTTTAGCGTTCCCAAGTCAGCCTAGCTGCCTGCCATGATGCTTTCTTCTGGCTGTGACTCTTTCTGTCTGTGTGCTTAAGCTTTTTGGCTTCTACTTTCCAAATACCTTCACTGCTACTCCATTGCTGCAGCTGCCTGGTGTAACCCATGTCTCACTGCAGGCTCAGCCAGCACCTCTTCCATTGCATTCTTGCTAATTTGATTTGGATCCTATTTCCCATTTTTGTGCAGTGCCTGGGGCTGGGGCTTCTTCCCTCTAGGGAGGTGCCTGGGGCTGGAGCTTGGCTGGTGCTCGATCCTGGGGCTGTAGGTGATAAGGGACAAAATCATGGTGCTGCTCAGAGCTGGGTTGCCCCAGTTCCCCCTGAGATGGGGATCATGGTCCTGTATGCTAATTAAGAAAGCCTTAAAGAAGGCCTGCCTCTGCCTTCCTTTTGCTTTGAACGGCACCAGAGGAGGTCACTTAAGCTTCTTGCCTCTGTTGCTTATAGGCTGGTTTTTTTTTATCCATGCTTTTCACATCACTTCATGTAAATAGTGTTGTGGACTGTGATGCCTCCAATCTCATCCAATCACTGATCCTTGATCTTGTTCTGTGCAAGTGTTTGTCCATATCATGATCTTTTTCTATAAGAGTTCAGCTGTTCTTGCTATCTATGTGCCTTTCCCTTGGGTTAGGCCTGAGCTATCTGCTGTACAAACTCGAACCTTTCCTGTTGGCTGGAATATGTGAGCCACAAACGTTCCTTTCTGTAGTTAAGGAAACTTTCACATCTGCAAATTACATGTTGGTGTGTGAGTTCTTGGGTCCATAACGTGAGTATCCAGTTTATATTTTGCTGCTTAGCATTTTGTTCAGGAGCTCTTTGCAGTCCTATTCGGTCACAGAGCCGTGGAATCACAACACATCAGTTGTTTTTGTGTTAACTCCTGGCAAGAGCATGCTGCCTGTTTTCTGTCCTTTCTCCCCCTAAAAGTTAGCAAAACCTCTACTTTTCTTTTCTCTTCCGTGCTCCCTAGCAATAGGTTTGTTTATGGACTTCATTGTTGTTTCTCTTGCTTCAGTGCTTGTGCAGATTTGTAGGCCTGGAAATATAAGTGCAGCTTTGTTTGCCTCTTTAATTATAAGTTCTATCTTGATGTGTGCTCTGCCAGGCTGACCACTTGCACCATATTTCTCATATATTTATTAGGGAATAATAAAAGAGGCATAGCCTCTAAAACTACATTCTCTCATTTATAGAGATGCTGCAGCTATACTGCTAGTTCTCCAGTTGCGTGCACACAGATTGTTTTTTTTGGCCTCTTCCATCCAGCTTTTCCACTTGGAGTTTTACAGTCAACATAGCAGGACAAAATAGAGGATCCTGATGAGTGGAGTCCTTATCTACCGTGTACTGTAGCTCCTTCCTTTTTAAAACGGAAGAGGGGCTGAAACTACACAAGAGTGAACTAATGGTGGGGATTAAAGGTAAAAATAGGAGCAGGAATACGAACCAGAGAATCTTATGCAATGCTGACTATAGTGTGACGATTTCCAGGATATCAGCATTGCCACACCTGAATTAAGAATTGTAGGCTTTTAATGTTCCACAGCAGTTGATCATGATTTCCCTGTGTGTTTGGTTTCTTGTCCTGAACTGATAGTTGCCTAGTTTTGATAGCAATAGTAGGAAAGCCAAAACTATGCCCTTCTTTCACCTACAGTTTGACATGTTATGTTTTGCTTACAGGTCAAGTAACTAAAAAAAAAAAAAAATCTCTGCAATCATTGATGTTGAAATCATTGCATCAGAGATGCTTTGAATGATTTTCTTTTTCGTTTTGTCAGATGCAGAGTAGGTTGATATAGACTTCTCCAAGATCACTGTCCTTACTCAGTGCAAATGCTGAGGGCTTACTTCTAAAAAGGCATCTCTGGAGGAAGATTGCCTTTTTCCAACTCAGGAGACTTAACTATACTGAGCTTTCCGTTGATGGCATTTTGAGTTGGGTTTTTTCCTCAGCCTTTGATATTTGCATGTCATCTGTGAGTTACAGAAAACCAGGTATGGTATGGCATTGCTAAAGAGTATGTTACTTGACAAGCAATGCTAGTCAGAAGAACATAATGTATTGGAGTTAAGAGAGAGAATATTTGTTAGTCTGATTAGATGTTTATATCTTACTCAGAATAAACATTTGAATATTTTCACAAAACAACTGGAATTATATGCATTCTGTTACACTCTTTGGCTCTTCCGCTTGATTGTTTCATGAAACGTCCTAAAGCTCTTCTACATCATGAAATGGTAGGCTTTGCTGCTGCAGCCATGTTGTGCTATGCGGCTGCTCTGACAAGGGAAATCTTTGGAAAATTACATTCCCAGCAAGCTCATTAATGAACACATGCAAATGTTGCAAAGGAAGTTCTTTGCTGCATGCTCTTCTTAAAGCTGGCTGAGGCCTAAGATGGGCTCTGCGTTGCTGCTTTCCACCTAGGAACATCAAATGTATTTTTAGTTGTTGCGTTCCTGTATCATACCCATTTCTGCTTGATCATTTGCCTGTACCCCTTGCTTGTTGAGCATGAAGAGGAAAGCTGTTATCTGGCAACAAGTGGTGACAGGTCAAGGCCTTACAGAATCACTCTGGCTGCAGATGTCTTGTGTGGTCAAAGCTGAGAAAAACGGCCTTGATCTCTGTCCATGGGCAGGCTCCGGCAGCTCGCTGTGTTGGGAAGTCCCTGGTGTGACTTTCCTGAGCTCTGTGCCTGCTCCGGTGCAAGCAGCGTCAGACCCAGTGAGCGTGCACGAGGATGTGAGAGTGCTGTAGCTTTCCTGCCTGGCGTAGACTGAACCTAGGCTTTGTTATGTCCCTTTGTAAGAGTCCTTAAAACGATATTAGTATCCCGTGCAGCCGGGATTTCATAGGCAGGCTGTTCAGTAAAACAAAGCAGACCAGAACTGAAAGAAATCTTCTGTGGGAAACAGCCTAGGAATCAGTTTGCCTTGTGTGCTGAACAGCTTCTCCCCAAGGAGGATGTTCATAGAAAGGAGCACATGTTGCTGGTACTCACTGTGCTTCCTCCCTCCCTTGCTTACTCCTAGGGGGCGGGAACACTTGCCTGAGGGTTCTCTGAAATGTAGCTATAGTGGCCTGAAGAAATGCAAGAAAACTGGATGCCACCATTACCAAGCAATCACAAATGCAATCGTTGATACTCTGATGACTGTGTCAACTGTGAGAACAAGTGTGTTCTGCCACCTGATGTGTAATCTTGCATGGCTTCAGAAATAAACAGAAGTGATTGTGTGGTTTCACAAACGAAGAGAAATGGATGGTCTAGAAAAAAGCAGGCAAGCCAAACATCAGGAGTCAATCTGGGCTCTGGGGAGGAAGGTAGGAGTTCAAGTGGGAGTGCAGCCGAGGTTGCTGAGCCCAAGCATGCCAGTGCGCAGCACCTGCAGCCCACTTTGCACACAAAGACAGTGGTTTGCTTCTCTTTTGGGTGCTGCACACTATGCTGGCTCCCTGGAGGAGCAGAGACCCCTTCCTGGCAGAGTCTTGGCAGCCACCAGGCTTTCAACAGCAACAGGAGGAAGGAGCTGGGATTGTCCAGGTGAGGGTCCAGCTAGATACAGTATCCTAGTTCAGGCGATGCATAATCTGAGAAGTAAATATAAAAGACTGCATTGTTTACCATCTTTTTACATCCCCTTCCCTTTTTTTTTTCTAATGTGCAGTTTCCATGTCCTTTGGAGCCAGTCCCAAATGATGGGGGCTTAGTCATTTCATGTCATGCCCACCTGCTATTCTCAGTAATCTCAGAAAATGACTGGTTTCACAATAGGATTGCAACATATGTCAGAGAGGGACAGGGACCTTAGGATAAAATTGGAGGGGGAGGAAAACATAAATGCCTCCAGAGCTGTTATTTCATGTTAATATGCAGATGTTTTTTATTATACAAAGACATGGAGAACTGTGTAGAACTTGCTCTCCTCACTCATTTTGTCCTGCTCCTGTTCCCCGCTTCTGTTTTTGGCCTGATTGTTGCATCTTCTTGTAGCCAAGACTGTGTATTATCTTTGAGGCACCATCTGTTTACTTTGTATTTATATGACACAACACCATGGGACCTGGCATTCATGGCCTCCAAAGGGTCAAATAACACATATTAGTTGTCTGATGCAACATAGTCGTCCTGAGATTCCTCAGTACTTCTGGATGCAACGGGTAAATACATCAGATCCAAAACAGGGAGCTCTCAATTGCTCTTCAGACAGAAGGAGTTGGGGTTGGTTTGGAGGAACAAGTGAACATTGCAATAAGATATTTTGATTATTACAGAAGGTAGCTATAAAAATGTCTAAGCAGCATTGTGGAGACCTCTAGTCAGAAGAAAATAGGAGACCACTTGAGGGCAGCAAATACTTAGCTTCTCTCTTTCACAATCTAACAAAAACTCCTAAAGAGATAGGAGACGACTTTTTTTCCATTTATTTCTCTTGTAGTTTTTTATTTGTCTTCACAATTATGGCACTGGCAGAAAGAAAAATCATTTTTTTTATATCTGCAAAAGTTAGAAATGGTATTCTGTTTTGGGTGTTTACTTTTGCTTCGGAATTCTTCTGCAAAAATACAAAGGGACACAGAATTTTTTTGAAGGGTAACAGAAAAGGGGTCCAACAGCAGAAGCTCATTTTCACCTAATGTCTGCTTCTGAATGCTGTGTGACAGAACTTGCATAAAACCTTTACACTAGAATATGCAGGAAAACAGGAACTTGAAAAAATACCCTTTCAGTCAGTAAAAATGATATGGTGAGTTCACATAATTTTCAGATACATACAGGATGAAGACAGTGTCAAAATACATACGTGCAAGGATGGCAGATTAAGTCTGCACAACGACCTTTAATCCTAGCATTCACTAAACTCTTAAAGCACTTGACTTTCCAACCATAGCTTTTCCCATAAAATGTTCAGGTTTAAAAAACAGCCAAATGATAAAACAAAATCCATCATCTGGAACTGAATTTATGCCTTCCTGTTTCATTAGCAGGACTAAAATTTAAATGTAAAGCAGATAATCTTTACCATTTCGGGTAACTGAACTGACCAGGAGGTTGTTTTGGCACTAATAGGAGAAGTACGTTTTGTTGGTGTGCTTCACAGTTGTCTGATGATGGTGGAGAAGCAGTGGGTTCCAGTCTAGGTATGGATCTTCTGCCTAATACCATCTTCCCTGAGCCTGACCCATTTTGCCCCTCTTCTTTTACCAGTTGCTATCTTCTTTGTAGCCCTTTTGTCCTCGCTGAATTTCCCTGTGCCTTCAGCGTGCAGCGTGGCCTGGCCTGGCTCTGCCCCTCGCTCCCATCTTGTCACTATGTTCCTCCTCTACTGGGCTGTCTTCTCCTCTGTGTTGCCCAAGCACCAGGATGGGGGCAGCCAGAGTGCATGGGAGAACTTCTGGTCTCAGTTGCTCTGCATCATGTCACGCTGTCCTCAGGCTGCTGGAAGAAGTAACTAAGGGGGAAGTCCTGCTCAGCCCCACGAGCTGTAAGGTGCAGCATGCTCACTACACGTGGGAGCATGCCAAGTTTCTCTGTCAGGTTCTCACACCTCCTGCGAGTGTGCATGTGTGTAGCTTGGGACCTCAGGAGCCTTGCACAGCAGAGCTTGGGTGGACTTTCACATGAGTGGTTAATACTGACACTAAGGTTCATACACATATTTTCTGAATTTTTAGTCTCTGTCTGAAAGCACAGTTACCGGAGAGTTTTAGTTTTATGGCTATACTCATTTTAATGTTGAAGTTAGAGAAAAGAATAAGCTGATTTACCATTTTCAGCAATGGGTGATACATCTCTACAAGCTGGAACTAAAAACGTATCTACATACAAAAATGAGATTCAAATTCAGCTTAATGCAGTTCAGCAGCATAATAGGCAATTTCAGTGCATGCAAACAAAGTTGGTGAGTCTTAGCTGAAGGCAGGCTCATGTAATGGAAAGTGTAAAAGGTAATCCTAATTATAGGTATTGATACTTGTGCTGCCTCTGTTCTGTTTCTCTGGGACCTTTTGTCTGAGGTCCTTTTGTCTTGTAAACTTATAGGAATATTGGAAGGTTATAAATTAAAGAATGTAGCTGTTTTACACACAGAAAAACCAATGCTTAGAGAGCATTGTCCGTCAAAATTTTCAAGATTTGGCACATCTTTTTAATTTTTAAGTTTTCAGCTTTGATTATCCAATCTGAAAGAAAGAAGCTGTGTTTTCAGAGTGGCTTTGCATTTACTTCTCATTGGAAGTAAACTGGGATTCCAGGTCCAGTTTTCTTGTGAAGATCGTGTTGTAGGTGTTTCAGGTTAAGCCTGCAAAAACTGATCATTATTGAAATGATGATTTTTGCCCTCTCTTGCACAGGAAATCTGTTGCAGAGCCAGAAATACAGCTTGAGTCTCAGGATTTCTACACCTTTGAGTCAGCAACAAGACCATCTGTCACTTGTAATTAATTCCTACTATGAAAAAGACAAACTATTTAACTTTGATGGAATGATCCTGAATTTAGAGGCTATATTATTCTCCTTTTTCCCTGCATGCATCACAGAGTTTCTCTTTGAAAGTTCACACTTCGATGAAGGTAAACCCAAAATGAATGATCTGGTTTAAAGCACTGTCTCCCCAATGGACATGACACAAAGTTGCAAAACACACACCTCTTTCAGCAAAGCAATCTTGACCTCAGCTTTTGATTACTGAGAAATCTGAAAACAGGTGAATTGTTTCTGATTTTAGATTTTGTTAAGAAAGTGCAGAACTTTTGTTCCATTTTAAGCTATAAAAATGTTTTGGAAGGTAAAAACTGCATAAGGAGGAGGTGGATATTTACTCAAACGTCCTCATTTCAAGTAGCACCTGCATATCAGTGCTCTTTCTCATAGCATCATTAAAAATGTGGCTAGATTCTTATTTCTAATAAGCAAAAAAATCAAATTTCTTCTCTGGAGAGAACCAGCTTCATCTAGGTAAAGAATACACCCTCTGAGACTGTAGTGTGCTCAGTCTTTAACATGTATGTTTTTGTGGTCTAAACTACATATAAAATGCACATGATAAAATTTCATCATTTGAGTGGCCTTATTTTTCATGGCCATTTCTCACTGAGGAATATTTCAGGTAGCTCCTTCCATCAAGCTATTATCTTTCCCACCCATGTATACTTAAATACATTCCTGAGGCATAGACTCAGTTATATTTGCATAGTTCAGGGCATGTTATCACTGCTAAATTTTAACAGAAATATGATTGAAATTTTGGAGATTAATGACCAGCTGGCAATAATTCAGCTGATATCTACTTTATCTGCATCAGCTCTTCCAACCTTCATTCTACAATGAATAATGAAAAAAGCACTGAAGAACTGAAAGCTGTTTCTAGGATACGATGTGCAGCACTTCCTACTCTTGGCTCACTCTAGCTTCAGCCTCTCAGCTCTGTCATTTTTTTTCTGTCTATGAATTTAAAATAGCTTTCTGCAACCACATAGTTAGGTGAAAGCAATAGCATTTGTCCCAGCCGTGGGTGGGACCACCTTGCTACCATGGTAAAACTGAAGAGGATGATCTTCACAAGGATTTTGCAGTAGGGTAATTTCCACACATTACTTCTCCTGCTGTTTGCAGAAGTACCTTTACTGCAGTAAGTTCAGAGCCCTGGTATGTGTGTGTTGAGTGCACATATGTCCATATGCAAAGCACGACTTCTCCACATTGGCATTCCAGCTGGCAGTTCCTGGAAAGCTGTCTGGAAAGCCATCATGTAACTCCAAAAGCTACTGCAAAAAGGAAATCACAAATGACATGGCCTCTCTGTTGCTGTTCGTACTTGTGCTGTCCTTGCTCGGTTCCAGTGCTTGTGCATGGGCAAAAATGGGCTTTTCCATAGTTCTTATTTGAGGAGAAAACAAATTGCTTTTAAGGCTGCTTTTTATGGGTAATCTGGGGCAGGGAGGGTGGGGGCAGTAGAAAAAGTCTTTAAACTCTGTTGCTTCAGGTTGATCTGGGCATAAATACTTATGGTACATTGATCCATTGTAAACTCCTGGAACAGGAACAGGATGCAGGTATAACAGACAATTATTATAAAACAATCGCTACTCTATAAACAGCCAGCTTACAGCTTTCTGGTGTCCCCAAGATATAGGTGTTGGTTTCACATTCTTGGCAGCCCTCCACTCTTTAAGTCAAGTCTTTTCAACCAGTAGCTGGCAGGAGGCTTATAAGTCAGTGGTAAAGGGCTGCTGGGGAAAATCTATCCTCAAACTGAGCCTAAGGCATGGAAAACTGAAGAGATTTCTTGTCATTGAGGTTTGGGAGACAAATCCCCTTGCCAGGCATTTTGCACTTGCAGTACATGATCACTTTGAGATTTAAAAAGCAAACAAACAGTAACCATTAAGAGCAGTTTATTAAATGAAATAAATTTCTCCTTGTACTGTAGAATAAAGAGTGGGCAATTTAGCAGTTCTTAATGGTGGGGCTTTGTCTAGATTTTTCTAAACTAAAATGACAATTTATATATACAGTTTTTTGAGGTATGCGTGTTCTCTTCTAGGATTTTACACGTATGAGCTCTTTTACCTCTCCTCAGTCCACAGAC